ATCTCAGCTATCGGATGGCCTAATTTATTGTGATAATTTAGGCGCAGTACAATTAACGACGTCCACGAAACATCACGAGCGCACGAAGCACGCCAAGATGTACTTCCACTTCGTCAGGGAATCAGTAACTGAAAGAAAGGTCCACGTCGAGTATTTGCAATCGGAAGAGATGATCGCCGACATCCTCACCAAAGCATTACCAGGGGACCGACACGAAGAACTCACTCGAAAACTTGGTATGAGTGACAATTAAGTATAAAAATCCAAATTGTTTGTACGTGTACGTATTAAGGGAGAGTGTAGGAAATGGTAATACGCACACATACAAGGTGTGCTACCGCGCAGGCACTCGGCGCAGATCCATACACTTATATATATATGCATATAGAGTAACAGCATACGTATTCACAGAAAATCTCACTGCGTGTATAAAGTCGTACAATAAATCACCAAATCTATTTTCCATTAATTAACGCTTATTATTTATTAACACCTAGACACTGCCTACCTCCCACATATACCATCATCGAATTTAAGCAGTCTTCTCCAAAATCTCGAATAAAAACAACATAACTCAGCAGAAACAAAATACAATCCACCCATTTTGTTCCAATCAAATGATTCCGCCTACAAACACCATCTCGTTTGGAAATACACAATATAACTAACAGAGCTGTATACCCGCGACAAGAGCATGATGTATGACAGCGAGTCCTTTGATAATGTTATGACCCGAAGTAACTTTCATTAATTTTCTTGTATTTAATTATATTTTTACTTAGTCTTACCTTATGTTTAGTCTAAGAATTTTAGTTTATGCTTAGTCTAGGAATTCTTGCACGCCCTAATGAAACTGTCATTGTGTAGGACGGCATATATAAGCCATCAAATTGTAAATAAGTTCTGTTCATTAACCAGAGGCCGAAAGACTGGTTGTCTTCACGCCAGTACACAACATAAGTTCAATCATAAGCTGCTCTGCCTTAAAAAATATCATCCTGATAATAAAAACATATTATTGCCGTGCAACCAAGTGGTCATCTCCAAAGGTCCAGCAACATTATCTCGCTTGGCAGCACTCAACAACAATGAAAGCACAAGAAAACTATATGCCAGCCGATTGCAAGACAAGAACATGGAAGCCATTTCTGTAGAAGACACCCCTCAAACGGCAAACAAATCGAAGAAGAGAAAATATCCAGGCTCTTCTCTTTAAGACCATCTTAAACACCTTAAAAAAACCCAGCAGAATGACATAAGAGTATATTGGATATTCCATCCAATCTTCAAAAAAGGAGACAAGACAGTACAGTACAGTGCAGTACAGTACAGAGACAACGACGGAGGAATTATGTTATTGTGTAGTGATCAGACTTTCCACGACGATACTACACAATAAACTAAGAAATATCAGCACCATCAGCAAAGAGCAGCAAGGGTTTCGGAGAAAATGTTCTGCAACGGATGCCGTACATTTTATCTCAAGTTCAAACATTAGTAACTGCAGCACCCTTTATCTTTCACGAACTAATCACACTCCAGCACCAAGCATACCAGCTGGTCATCTTTTACGTCGTTTGACCTTGCATGCCGCGTTGATTGTGTTTCTGGTTATAGCGGCCATGTAATAGAAAACGAAGATTATGTTTTAGTTTTTTAATTTATTAACACTGGACTTATTTGTAGTATTATTTGAATTGCTATTCAGAGCTTTATAATTCTTTATAACCTCAATTTCATTTGCTTTATTATGTTGTATTAAAGAATAGTGGTTTTGGTTTTAATAACACTTTAAATTTTATATTAATATTACATCTTTTTTAAATTATGTATTAGGTATTGTAGGCTTTTAGAACAGAACCTACTCTGCCTCGTGTCGCAACATCGACTACCACGAATCGTCGATTCACCGGAAGTAGACAATCGAATGCAACAAAGAGTCCCCAGTGTTGCCAGAAGTGATGCCAACCGCTCAACACTTTTATCCCTAAGCGTGTTTTTAAATCCTCTAAATTCGAATCAAAACTTTTGGTGAATGAAAAGTTTAATTAAGTATCTATAATTGTCATAACATTTGTAATAGATTAACTTATCTCCTTTAATTTAGATGTCCCCGCCCTACAAATACTATCAAACAAGGTAGCGTATACTGAATGCCAATATCCACGAACACTAGAAATCGAAAAAAATCTAATGCATTGTATTCTTAAATTTCTGTAGATTTTTTAAAGATCCTATTAAGTATTTATATGTATATGCAAATTCTGTGCATTGATTTTTTTTAGTTGAACTTCCAGTTTTATCAACAATGCATATTTCAGCCAAGTTTTGCCAAAAAAACTCTCACATCTATCTCGAGGCCCTCTGCTGTCCATGTAATGCAATTATGTTTCTTTGCAAATAAAATGCGTAGTTGTTTTAAATCAAAACGAAATATCAATAAAAAATATTAAATGAAAACATTCTAAGCAAAATTAAAAATGTTCCGATGATCTGCTTTTCCTAACAAAAACACTTTTGATTAATAATCATCATTATATACAATATTTATACAGATAGATAACTAGATAAACGTTATAGTACACAACTTATAGACATCAACCTAATTCCTAATAAATATTTACGGTTCTCCATCTCCATGAGCTCATCATTCGCAAAAGAACAAGCGCTCGAACGTTACATTGCTACTACAAAAATATACATTTAATTTGTTATTTATGTACAATTGTTTGTAGTTCATTTAATGCAATTTTCGATATACATAGTTTATGATGGTATGTATTTTTGTTTAAAATAGTATTGTTAATTCTAATTAGTTCATCATTCCATCAGCAGAACTCCTGCTCTCAGAATATTCAATCATGCCCATGGAGAAATTTTCGAACCGCATAACGCCTCTAAACATGCGTACATTAAGAAAACTACATCAACATCTATCACATAACGTACCAGTTGTTGGTTTCGGTGAATGAGATAACATCACTTTTTTTTTTTTTACTTTAACAACGTCTGATCTGCACAACACTTTTAAATATAGCTTATCCGTTATAAGTTAATTGTAGAAAGTGTAGACACACGGGTTCCGCAAAGGAGCCAATTCAAATATCACAAAACATTAATTGGTGAATGATGTGGCATCACCATGCAAAAATAAATATTTTTCAATCAATTTTCCCACAGTGATCAAGCAAACTGCACTGTACGCTATCACCACCGCCTACAAACCTACCTTCTTAACTACATATGTAAGTATGTAACTTTGTAGCCAATGCCCCCGTATAAAGGTTTCAAATTTGTATCATTTGCTAAGCAATTCAATCTCCCCACAGTCCGTGTTTCTGCTTTGTTAGGTTTTATATCTTGAAATTGACAACCGATATGCGTTATAACTACGCATCTAATTGACACGACAGACACCTGCTAAACTTTCAGCCGGGTAAATTGCTACAACACAATCTCCGGCCTGAGAGCTAACAATAAATAAAGGGAGTTTCATTCAGCGTGGTCATTCGTTGTAAGCAAGAAGCAAATATAGAATGACTATTTTATATTTTCAAATTATTATTTGACCAGATGATTAGTCCTACGCAACAATTTTTATCGATTATCTAAGAGCGTTCACTCATCAAGTCGCCCTTCACCCTTTCGCCTCTGGCCAATTTTAACCGCCAAAACACTAAGTGAACGTACGACAATGACTATAAGTGAAAACAATTTGTATCAATTGTGTTGCTGATTTTGTATTCATAACAAATTTCTATAAATAATAAATACAAAGCGTTTGTTTGATCAATTCAATTTGCGTGTGACAGCAAACGCCCCAACAAACTAACATTAATGCAGCCCGCCGTCCATTGAACGCAATGGATTTCTTTTTATGTCAAACGGCTTAATGCTCATGTCGTATACTGCCCCTACCAGAATGTTAATTAACCAGCTACCGAATTATAAATTACTTTAAACGAATGCCCAATAACATTCCAAAGTCTTCACGACGAAGCTTTCTCCACGTTTGGGGTGAGCGGATCATTGCCATAAGTCTTAGGCGACTCGCACCTGCCCTCTGATATAAACCGCCACTCAACCAAGGCCAAACCCGAACTTGCTCATCTCCAAAGCGCCGATACTCACAAGCTCGTTGTTTCCTTTGATGAAATACATTCCCCTTCACCGGTCCAGTTGTACACTTGAAACTCTTGGGCTGAATCTGAATAACAACCATCTCAGTACCGCAAAAGTCTTGACCGAAATCTGCAATGCGCAAGATGTTAAAGCACCAAATACTCAAGGGACAAACAATATTTAATTAGCGTCACAGCAATACGTAATCAACGAAGTAACAATTAATTCTCCGCTTTAGATGTCACTGCAATGCGCTTTTGATGTAAAATCATGCGCACCGTGCTAGTAACTTGTTTGTTTGCGTCCAGGTGTCGTTTCGGTGCCCGTGTGCGTGCATGTTTGCATCCCGCAGTCGCTCAGTATTCAATTTATGTCGGTTTTTGCGGGTAGAAATTTGATGATTGTGACTAATAACAGTTGTTTCCTCGCAGTAATTATTGCAGTTTGTTATGAGAACGTATCATTTTCGTGTTTTCATTTTCATTTGCGTAAATTAACGACCTCGCATTCTCGCAGTGATATATTTCGTTGTAATACAAAATACGGTGTGTTCAATGATAAGGTATTCCGTCTGAAAATGTATCTCGTTAAAAAGTGTCTTGGAAACATTCTGAACTCAATTTGCGCGAGGGGATTCACGGATAAAGGCAACAGCGGGTAAGTTTACCGCACATCTAACACCCCACTGATTGGGGATGAATGGCCGGCCAATCAAAACTCGCTCGCCCACACGAGTTTCTAACCTCAAAACAACTTCGGTCGGACTTAGGCAAATCCGCACCGAAATCAATTTAACTTTTTCGCCGTAAACTTCACACCGCACACCGGATTACATTGAATTCAAGTTATGAATATATTTCAACGTTTCAATCTCATAATTTAAATAAATCATCTCTTTATTCAATACACAATTATGCTACATAAGTAAACAAGTTATTTCTTAAAATAATACATATAAAAATATAAAAAAATAAACTGATTTCATTCAGTGTGCGGCGTTGACAAGCGCAGCGATCGCCGAAGTGGTGCGCGCGCATCTGAAACAAACATGGTTGACAACACAAGCGACAACATAACCTACCAAACCCTAACACTCTGTAAAGTTTAATTTACCGCATATATTCCGAAGTTTTCTTTTATCTTCTTCTACAACATCATCTTCGTAATGATGCGGATCAAATGCTAAAATCTCCGGGCCAGCTTCATTAAAAATCACCGCTTTTTTCACCGAACTTCGCGGCGTTGCCACCTTTAAAATACTTTTCGTAGGTGTAGCAGCAGCTGGGACAATATCACTTAATCGTGCATTGCGTGTTGCATTTATAATCGCTAATCCTGTTGATTTCCTCGCACTTTTACGACTCTCCGAATGCAAAACAGTCTTTAATAAAGACATGGCATTCGAGGGACGTGGAGTTGCATGTGTTGTTGGTTGCCTAACTTCTATAACTTTATTCGGTGATTTTATATTAAAGAAACCACCGTTGAATTCAGCCCCGCCGCCATCTTGAGGTGGAGCTAGTTTATTCGCTCTGGCTGCACGAATTGCATCACGAATCTTCGATGTGGGTTTATTTACAGCAGCAGAAGGTTTTTTAACAGCGCGTTTTAGTGGTTTACGCTTTATTTCAACTTCTTTTGCTGGTGAAACTTCTGGTAAAACTTCCTGCCATTGATTATCACGTAACCTAATCAAATTCTCAAAGCGTTGGTTGAGATTACTAACTTGTATCATCACAGTATCCCAAAAACCATGCAAATCCGCGCAGGTAACTGATAATTCATCGGTGGAAACAACAGATTTGTCAATCAACGCCCGGAATTGTTTCATTTTCTTTGAGATTAGAAGGTTTGATTGGCCCACTGGTACATTTATCATGTTACAAGCTTCTTCTGGTAAATTTTCATTCATCTACATTGAAAAAACATTAAATTCAAAGATATTTTCTAAAAAAAAAAACTAAAAATTACCTTGTATTCTTCCCATTTATCGCATAAACCACGAATTCTCGCGATTTCATCATCTAGGAGTTTGTAAAAATACGCGGAACCTGCTTTAATGCCTGTTACATCCGGTGATTTGACACATTCTCCACCTTTGGATGACCGCGACTTGTATTCTGTTCTAGCCAGACTTTTACCACGTGACATTGTCACGAAAGGACTCACATAGTGTTCTGTTTTAGGCGTTGTTTCTTTTTCTTCATCCAGAGTAAATGTAGAGTTTAATTCTTCAAATGGATAAACACTCGAAGCAGAATCTGTACTCCCAGCACTTTTTGGTCTGGAAATATTGATTTTTAAAGATTTAAAAGTGAAAAATTAAAAATTTACTTACAATTCCTCTGTATCTTCTTTAATTTCTTCAATATCTTCAGATTGTTTATTAATTAATCGTATTCCAGGTGTTCTACCAGCTGATTTGCGCCCTTTTCTTGTTTTTGGTGTTTTGATTTGATTTTCGTTGGATTTTCGATTTTTAACTGGACTTACATCGTTATTCTCGTTATTTTCAGGTGTTTCATGTAAATTCCTGCGTGATTTTCGTCTTTTAGGTGTTTGCACAGGCGTTTTAGCAAATTTGGTTGTTTTTTTAGGATTTCCAACATTTTCTTTATTTGTTATTACAACTTCATCAACGTCGGCAACTTTATTAACCTCTTCTTCAATCTTTGGTTGAAGTTTAGTTGTTTTTTTAGTTTGTCGAGTCTGTTTTGTCTGTGTTTTAACAGTAACATTTACTTTATCGTCACCTTTTTGTTTCATTGCACTAAGCTGTCTTGTAATCCTCCTCTCAGGTTTTACAGTGATTTGTTCTTCTTTATTACTATAATTCAACTTTCTACGAGTTGTCTGTATGTTTATATTTGTATTTTTAGGTTGTAGAACTTTTTCTTCATTGATTTTAGTTTTTGTTACACTCTTCTTAACCGCCATGTTGTTTTTACCGCTCACATCTTTCATAGTTGTATTAGAATGAAACTGAATAGGTTTTATATTAGCTGGTGCTTTAAATGTGTGATTATTTGCTCCGGAAGGTAGAGGAAGGTCCATTGCAGCTACTGATGGAATCACAACGTGTCGGGATACTTTAAACACCGGTTTTTTGTTGGCTTTCTCTGCGGTGCGTTTTTTGTCGCGTTCTGCGCGCCATTTTTGCAGTCTATCCATGAGTTCCTCAACGGTTTTACCCGGTTTTGCAGCGGTTTCGGGTTGTTTTTGTTGGGTTTGTGGTTGTTTTTTCATTGTTGAAGGTTTGGTGAATGTTGGTGGTGCTGTGGGTTTGCAGGGTGTCGGCGGCATTGGTGAATAAGTACGTTTTGAATCACGAAGCATATCGCGGTTGTTTAGGCGGTTTTTTCTCGCCTCGACGCGGTTTTGTCCGTTGCGTACCGGCCGTGCTTTTAGTCCTTTGAGGTATTCAGGAAATGAGGTGATGTTTTTAGAGTCGCCCATGAGAATAATTGTCTAAAAATATAATTAGAGGTGTTAATAATTAATTATTATCATTTTTGTCTGTATGTTTCTTTGTTGTACGCAGTCTTATTACGCGCTTTTTTATTTATTAAAAAAACAGTAGAAAATGATTTAGAATTATTATTATATATCTCACCTTGTATATTATAAATAAATCACTTATTGTTTCTTGTATTAAAATTGTTGCACGCGGTGTGTTCCCGATTCATTCACGAACTGACTCAAGGATAAAACAGAAATGACCGTTGAATTGCGTTCAGAAAAACCGTTGACGGTTGCTTGAAAACCAGTGACAGATGCACTTGTTTTGTCACCAAAAGTCCCTAGAAAATATTTTAATAAATTTTAATTTGTAATTTAATAATATTTAATCAAACACACAACAATATTATATTAAAATAAATAAATTTATTTATTTAATTGATTTTTACTTAAATATTAACGTTTCTGCTTGTAATAATATAGATTTATTTGGTTTTAGTTTGTGTTATTTTTTTAGGTTGGTATGAGTTCACCGTGAGGGAACCAGATCGCCATGACCTTCATACATTCAACTGGTTTTTAGACCGATCGCCTTGTTATGTATTTTATTTTCAAATTACGTCCCGTCTGCATCATCTGTGAGAAATTCTAAGTGATGTATAACCTGCTGTAACCCACATTGTAATTGTTTTCCCAAGTGATGTGTGTACAACGCGGTGAATTTTAAAAATATCTCAACAATTTGTCAGAAATTTTGGGTTATGTACTATGCTAAACTAGGTAAGTTCAAATAACACATAAAAACAAAAGTTTTGATATTAAAACCTACCATAAACTAATAAATATATTCATTTTCATTAGATTATACCTTGGTTTGTTGAATTTATCATGGCAAGCAGCTCTCCCTACACAAAGTAAGTGTTTATCCACCAATTTTCACACATAAATACACATTACACACTGTAACTGATTAAATTTCAGTTTATTTCCTTGCGTATCATTCATTTGTTTCTGTAACTTGCTTGTCATGGCAATATTCTCATGTGACATGTAAACACATGAAATAAATCTTAAATTTTTGTTAATTTTTTGGCAAACCAAGCTCATTCAAAATTTCTTGCAGGTTGTCTCACAAAAACATGTAAAATAGAGGATATCCAGGGAGAGCCGCTGTCCGAGAGTATCATGAAACCAAACCAAGGTAAGCAATCCACAGGCACCGCCTCTGGCCTCGGCCAGGGAGCTCTATCAGCGAAAGCACTTGAATACTACCGCATGTACGCCGCCAACGAAGACCTACCAAAATATTTCGCCGGGGATTACACCGATGACACCACCTCGACGACCACGCCGACGACATCCTCCCTAACCACAGTCCGCCAATGCGTGGAATCACTCCCCGAAGACTGCGCATCGCCAACCAGTAGCATACTATCAACAAAATCAACGAAAAAACATCTGGAATGGGACAGCGGCGCGGATATTGGCTACGCCGCGCTGCACGCACTCCAGAAGAGTGCCTCCATGCCCATCCTCGACGATAAAGACCCCCAGAAACCTGTAAAGACTAAAACAACAAAAGGCCACAGCCTTGCGGGTATCCCAAGCGTAAGCGCAGATAATTCCGATACAGATAACACAATTTCCGACACAAACACAACCGCGCAAGACCTGATGACTTATCTTAAAGCTAAAGTAGGTTTACCGGTAGCAGAGTCAACACCTGTAGGTTTAGATATAAAAAAATCCGGCAGTGATCCGACGATTTACTCCAAACAAAAAACAAAAAATCTCAATACAACCATGTTTAACTATGAGGTGGCGCCATCTGGTGACCACTGCGAGAGTAACATTACACATGCACACAGCGCACACTCACTAAACTCCTCCTCCAATGATACCCTACCACAGAATAATAAATATTTCGCGAGATATCGCCGCAGCAAGTTGAAAAACCTGCAGATTGCGCAGCCAATCAGCATTGAGTGTCTGAATGACGTGAGGACAGAGGATGGGCAGACGCAGACAACACATATTCACTCACCGGAAGTCCCAGCAGAAGAGGTGGAACCTCAAAATGTTGATAATCAGTCCATCGGGGTGCAGACAGCGGGCAGGAGGTCAAAACAAGAGATTTTGTATCTGTTTCATCCTAGTGCTGATAATATTCGGTTTGAGTACAAGTCGACTTCGTCTTCGACTGCAACCACGACGAATTCGTCAAGGGGGCGTGTCTATGACGGCGCGTTTTTGAATTGTAATAGTTTTGAGTATGTTGCGGGGAATTTTCAAGATTCTAGCACGACTAGTGAAGGTGTAATGAAAGAAGATGAAATAAAAAAGGATACGACGTCTTCAGCGACTACGATCAGCACAAATTCAAAGTTGGTTAATAATTCAAGTAGTACAACTTCTACAAAAGAGGTTTCCGAGGAGGAAATGGAGAAATCATTAAGGGTTATGAAGAAATTGATTAAATCTAAAAATTATGATGATAAATTCAAGCAGGCTTATATTCGCAAGATGGCGCGGAGGTTAGTACCAACTGAAAGCACTCCATCAACAGAATCTGTTGAAAAAATGTCACTAGAAGTTGGTAAACCTGATGAAAGTAAAGATAATGATGCGCATGCGCCAGGTGATTGGAAAGAAAACGTCACAAATTCCGAAAAGTTGTATTCAAGTGTAGATACGAAGAGTACAGATAGTCCTAAAGAATGTTTGGTTAGTTTTGCTAAGCGTGAGCGGGAAAATCAACTGGATTGGATAAAATCCGAGATGGAGCACCTTGCAAAACTTAAATCTTTACTAGAAACAAAGAAAAAGTCACATAGGAATAATATCAGCGCTTCTGTGCCGAATATTCCAACGAAAACAGATGATTACACGAAGAGTACTGCGGTGTATATGATCACCACCGAGAAAAATGGCGGAGCGACTTGTACACACAACGCATGCGCATCCAGAACAACGAAGAGCGCCTCTGGCGAGATCAACTTCCACGTGCATAATAATCTAGGCGTGCGTGATTATCGCTTCAAAGAGATCGTCACCAAGATCACGCCACCTGTAGTTAGCAATTGTAGTTGTAATCGTAGTGATGATTGTTTTTCAGACCGTGCACCGCATCTTACACCCTCTCAGCAACCACAACAACAATGTCCGAAGGCGGCATGTCGGCCGTGTAGTCGCGAAGGTGAAGTACCGCTGATGACTGTGCGTCGTCCACGTGATATCTTCCCAACGCCACCGGTCGAAGCGGCGAAACCGAGAAACAATCGCAGTCGATCGTCGTCGGCTAAAAGCACGTCCATCACCGATGATACGTCGGGGTATCCTTCGCGCAGGCGCCCTTCGATTACGCCCTCAAAAAAATCGTCGCATAAACGTAAACCACGGCCGGCTCCTGCGTGTTGTTGTTCGGGTGCGTCGCCTGATGAAGAGAAACGCAAGGGGACCTCACAGGCGAAGAGTGATTCGGATACGGAGTCGAGTCATTACGAATCGCTGACGAAGTATCCGAGTAAAAGTAAAACCACTACGTTTAATAATTCAAGTCGGATTTTAACTGCGGATGATTTAAAACGGGTTAAAGAAGTGCCGCATAGCACGCATCATTTTTGTTGTAAGATGGCGGAACATACACCGCTGATTCTCCCACCGCTGCCGTCCACGTCACCGAAGAAGGATAGTTATAAAAAATACAAAGCGCAGAAACTCAAAGAGAAAGAACTACTGCAGGAGGAGAAGGAGAAAAAGGAGAAGGCGAAAAAGCGTGAGGTCGCCATTACGGCACCGCCGAAGGAACGCGAGCGGAAACGATTGCGTGATCGTGATAAAGAATTCACGAGCGAAGCCGAACCCAAAAGTATCACCGATGATGAAAGTGGTAAATATACGCATGCGCCGCCATTTTTGGAACCGTCCAAACTGAAAATCGTGTGTTCCAAAGCGAAACGTGAAGTAATCCTCACTGAAAAATCATCTGTGACACAACCGACGACGAATACAAGCACAACGAATAAACTAGAAATAAAAAAACGCTCGAAAACCGATACCGACGCGAATAAACATAACCTCAATCAGAAAAGTAACAAAAGTAAGTCACAGCTACCATCTGAGTCACGTACTGAGAGCGAAGTGCATAGTTTTGAACGTTTTACGAATACAGAAGGCTCATGGAACGAAGACGACGAAGATGAGTTTACAAAATGTCCGAATGCGATGAATACCATGAGTCACTGCAGGTGTGCAAAGTCTTCGCGTAATATGTGTTCGTGTGTCGCGTCGAAAACAGGCACAGTTTCCCTGCAGACTGTGATAGCACCCAAGCCAGGTGTTGAGAAAGGTGTGATGAAAGATGAAGAACCCAAGGCGACAGACGCGAAGGATGTGCAAGTTGGCGTGGAGAAACCTGTAATGAAACAGAAAGCCGTCGGGGATGATGTGAAATACACAGCGAAGGAAATTGCCAGTCAAATTCCACATTTAAAGGAGCAGGAGAGTCCGAAAAGTGGGTTAAGTATCACGCCAGCGGCTGTGGTGACGTACATGCCGCCATCTGGCGGTGATTCAACGAATTCAACGTCTGGACGTGCGCCTGCCGGGTATAAAATGGTGAAGGATTTGTCCAAGATGAATTTGAGCAGTGCTGTTATCATCAGCAGTGTGGTTACGTCCAGTGTGTCGAATCCTGATGATAATATTAGGAGACTTGTGTTGGAGATGCCGTTGGATGAGCGTGAAGAAGATGGTAGGTTAAGTTTTCATTAAAAAAAATTATTATTGAGGTTATGTTGTTTTTTATGTTTCAGGGTTGATTCCACGTTTGGAAAAGAAGTTTACCAAAGATAAAGAAGTGGATCCACCCGAGAGCGATGTGTTTTCGTCGATGTTGTCTTGTAGTTGTTTGCAGAGTTCTTCGTCGAGGGTGACTACGACCGCCGGGTCGACCACGGAGGTTATGTGCTCATGTTGTGGAAAGTTCGTCATTGACAGCGAATCTTCACTTATGTTAGGTAACATTTTACCTGTTTTTTTAAATTTTATTTTATGTAAATTTAAAGATGGCGGTGATAGGTTTTTTGTATTTTGTTTACCCGTCACACACTTCTCCGTCACTTTTATTAGCGTTTACAAATTTCTTGTGTACGATTTTATTTGAATGAAAATTTGCCATGGATTCAGGTGATAATAATGTGGCGCCATTTTGTTGGCCCTGCTACTGCGCGTCGACGAAACGCGACTGGAATCCGGCGGATCCCTTCTACCAGCAGCCGGACCACATGTGCAAGTGTTACAATAACAAAATTGACGACAATGCACTGGAGAAGATTCGCGATACGTTGAGGCAGTTGGCAGAGATTGATAATCAGGAAGAGGCGCCCACGTCGTCCACGAAGGTGACGTCGAAGAGTGACCGGCTGGTTTGTCATTCGTGTAATAAAAAGATTAAGCGTGAGACGTCGGTGAAGAAACCAGTGGCGTATGTGTTGAAATTTGAGCCCGGTGAAGAGGTGGATGGGGATGATGAGAAGCCGGAGCTGCAGTCGCTGCAGGAGATTCGTGTCAAGGTACCCGTGAAGAATAAGAAGGCGTGCGTTGGCGGGCAGACGACCTCGAGCGGGTCGAGCAAGAAAAAGCGAAAGAACGGCGGCGGCGCCGACGCGGAGAATAAGCGTAATTTGCAGGTAAAATACCTGTTACGTTAATAATAATAAATATGTTCGTTTTTGCTTTGGACTTATTGCGTCTCTTGTGGAGTTTTACTGCGTTTGCGCGTTGAATGTTTGATTTTTTGACATGTGTCATGGCGGCCATTTTGTAACAGTTGTTTGAAATTTAAGGATTACTTGTCATCGAATCGGCCGGACTTTGTGCGCTCAGCGGAGGAGCGGCGGCGATGTCTCATTGAGTTGGCGTACATGCGCGAACAACGGTGTAAGAAGTACCAAGAACTGCTGGCACTCTCGAATGGCCAGCCACCCTGTCAACCTATGCATACGGAAAAAAGTGAGTAAATGTCAAATGATTTCTCTCAAACAGCACATAAAATAAAAACAACGACGACTAAATTTTAACCTTAAAATTACGACATCTACATGAACATTTTAGAATTGCGCTTATTTTCGACAAAGGAAATGAAACGCATGACTGCGAAACATTACAAAAAGCTTCCGGAAGTGCAGGAAAAAATTTTAGATACAAAGCGCCAGCGTACAAAACAAACCAACAAATTGTTAGCCAGTATTTTTAATCAGGTAATAATAGTTGTCACTTCTTTAAATTTTATTCATGTGTTTTGTTTCTGTTTGTTTTTAGAAGTTGAGAGAAATGGTCTTGCGTGGACAGGCGTCCCTGTCAACCAGTATCAGTGTTATTAATATGTGATCGACGAGAGTTTTTTTATCTGGATTTTCTAAGAGTGTCATATTTTTTTAAAGAATTTTAACTTGTTGTCATCAAAACTACCTGAAATACATGAACTAACAAAGACCTGCGTATGTTTTTATTGTTTTGAAGTCTTTGTTTGGTATTTCTTTGGTATTGTGATATCTGTTGATTTAGTTGCCTATGTAGTATGCAAGATGAGGTTAATGTGTGTTTTTATAAGTTGTAGGTGGCTGGGTGCTGTCTGTCATTTGACATCCGCCATTTTGCTACAATTTTATTTTCATTATCAATTTACCATCGACAACGCATCAATCACGTGATTATTTATTGATTCATCTATAAATTAAGTGGATATCTTCGCCTGCTATTTGTTTTCTTAATCATTTGTAACATATCACTGCGTTTATTCATCGAATTTAATATGTCGGAGCAATATAACCTACAAATCCCCACCGAGCAGGAGCCTACCAATGATAGCGACACTGAAATGTAAGTAAAACAAAAATTTTTGTATATTTGCGGTTTATTGAATTCATTTCGTTTAGGGATCCTGCTGTGACAATCAAAACTGAAGACGATACAGGTCTTCCTCGAGAAGTGTTCTTTTTCAATAATAACTCCGAGGAACAACGTGGTTTTGTGCAGAATAATCAGAACTACGAGATTCTAGGTGCTTCCATTCCGGTGGACAATGAGCACATGGGACGTGTGCTGTTGATGAATTCGGAGCAGGATACTGTCAAAATGCGTCTGCCTGAATTGAAGGGGGAGACTAGTGACTCGACGCATTTTATCAAGTACAAACCGGATGGGAACGGGAAAAATATCAAGGTGTGGGAGTGTGGGATTTGTAAGTATAAGAATAATTGCTTTGTCTAGGCAACAACATTTATTAAACACACATTACACAATATAATACATCAAAAACGTAAGTTTTATAGGTTATAGTCATTTTTAAGTAGTGTTTCAACACAATCCGGAGATAGAGAGAGAGGAGAGGAGACCCTAGAAGTCTGCGACTTTATACCTGCACCCTTTATACCTGCGAACGACCCGCAAAAAGTGGTGGGGGTAGACCTACGTTACGTGATAGATTTTTACGCGATCACGAGTCATCCCCACTCCTCTACCCTACCTCCCTTTCTCTTTCTCTCTTCTGGTGTGTTTAGGTTAGTCGTGTGAGACCAGGGGTAACCCACACGTGCGTGGCATAAAACACTGTTACACGATTACACGTTGTTGTTGATTTAGTGTTTGTTTGTGTTTTGTGGTTAGGTCACAAGGAGTTCGGCCATCAATACATCCTCATGCGTCACCTGCCGACGCACACCGATGAGCGGAAATACGAGTGCAAGCAATGTGGGAAAGGTTTGAAAGAGCGTGCTCCCTGTACGATCATTATATGGCATCTGTTTTTTGTTTTCTTCGTGCAGCTTTCCGTCAGATGTCAACGCTGTCACAGCATCGCGCCATTCACTCCAAGCTGCGTCCGTTCATCTGTGAAGTGTGCCAGAAAACGTTTAATCGTGTCTCGACGCTGATCTCACATCGCAAGACCCACACAGGTTTGAAACCACATCGATGTCATCTATGCAACAAGGCATTTCATCAGAAAGGTAAGATAATTTTGGTGTAAAGGTGTGTGGGTAAAATGTACCATTGTATTAGGCAACTTGAGAAATCACATCTTTACGCACACAAACGAACGTCCCTACAAGTGTGACGTGTGCAACAAGGGGTTTAACCAAATGTCCAATCTAATGTGTCACAAGTTCAAAGCCCATCAACGCGCGGATAAACCCAAGTACAATTGCCCCACCTGCGGGAAATTATTTGACAGACGCATTGCATTGCGTAATCACAAACAATACGAACATGGCGATAATCATTCCCCTATGACCAGCGGGGAGTTTAATGTCCCTACTGATGGTACAGCCCCTCGGGATATGCCTGCCCCCAGTGTTAATTACACCAATGGTGTGATGATCCCTCGTATTAAGACCAACGCCATGAAACTTATGTCTGGCTATGGTCAGGTCCCTTTCGCTTTGCTAAAACCATTAGAAGGTGTCCCTGTTTTGGTCCGGGTACTCCTCTCAGGTATAAAAAGCCTACTTGTCCCTGCAACTGCTGACGAATTGAAGAAGTACTGTAAGTTAACCCCGAAAGTTGAACCAAATTCCGAGGAAAACAAAGATAAAGACCCAAAAGGTCCCAACACTGGTGTGGTTGTGGTTAAGATACCCGTGGTGGCTACAGTTATCCAACGCTGGCGTAATGGTCAGGTATGTCTGGACATTGTCGAACCAGGTCCTGATCCAGAGTCACGTCCCTGTGTGAATGGCAGTGATTACGAGGAAGAAGATGAGAATGAAGGGGAGTCCAGTGCGGATGAAAAGGACTTTGCCAACTTGAATGAGTTTGATGATTCTGGCTTGGATACGGATATGAATATGTTTGCAGCCGCGGCTTCTTTGATTGATTTGCGCACGCGTCCTCAGGCCATCGAGGTGGATCAAGCAAGTGTTGAGATGTTTAATCATGATGAGTTGGATATTGATATTACCAACTCGGTGATTGATCTGGAGAAGGACCATCGTGCGTGTGGTATGATTACCGAGAGCTGCTTTGATAAGGATGACAATGAGTTTGAGGTAGGTGGCTTGTACATGTTTGTATACTGGGTGTTTATGGAGATGTTTTTTTAACAGATTGATGTTTATGTTAGCGCTGAGGAAGATTCTGAAGACTCTTCTTAGTTTAACTTTAATTTCTTTGGGTTATATTTAAAACTGTAATGGTCATGGCACCACTAGTTTGGCTTAAGTTAATGTAACTTAAATATTTGATCACTTTATCAGTCTCTTAATTATTACGCGTTAGTGTTTTAAATTTTTACTAGTTTGTATCACTAGTGGGTGTCGTGGCTGTGGTGTTGTGGGCTTGGCGTAGATTAATACTGTCCATTGCAATAACCTCGTTGGTGGTGGGGGTATTCACAGACCGATGACGTTCGTCGGGAGGTTTGTTTGGGAAGAGGGCAGTGTATGACGGGGGTAGATCTAGTTCGTCGTAATTTGGAGGTTGCTGTGCGCCCATTTGTGGGGGTTGTGGTTGTGGTACACCGTTTTCGTCGTAGTTGTTGACGATTAGTACCGTGGTGGCAGGTTGAGATGGTGAAGGTATAAATGGTTCTAGTTTGTATCTCCGGATACAACACTCCCAGACACCATAACACATTAGGAATAGGGTCCCACATAGGACTACACCTAGGCAGAGGTAGCCCCATGGGTCGTACTGTGAGAGGAGATCGTGTAGAGTTGAGAAGGTTTTCGCTTCCGGGGCTGGTCTTGTTGTAGCTGCAGAGATAATAGACCATTAATTAATTAAGGTATAAACAGTATGGTTAAAAATCTTACTTTCTATTTTTGTAAGTCGTTTTATATTGTTCCATGTCCTGCCGATGTCATTGATCATTTTTGGAAGGTCTGTAGAGTTTTCTGCGTAACCCACTTTGCGAATTGTATTTGCAATGTTTGGCATTTTATTCAAAACCCCCATGAATCTCTTGGTCCACAATTGATCCGTCTCACAAAAGATGCCCTCATCACTTGTCTTTGACCCACTGGGACAATTTTCATGCCCATCGCAGGTGACATCCGCGGAGACGCAAAAAATAGGTTCGAAACCAATTTTCATACAGGTATGTTGATTGGGTTTCCTGCAATATTCTCCTACAAAAAAAAACAGAGTTATTTATACCCCAGGTAAGATAAAATTAATATTTCTAACCATGTCCAACCGCAGTGACGATTATTTTCCTTCCCTTGGTCTGTAGCTTATCATGTGAGGACTCCCATCGGATGGTCGCCTTTGAAGACAACATATCAACACTTTTCAATGGTTCCGAGGTGCAGAGATCTCCTTGCCAAATGGGTTTCATCATGTCTTCCACATACTGTTGGACAAACAAGGTAAATCTATAATTATGATTGATTGTGATTATTCCTTGGTAAAAAATGGTAAGTGGGAACTTTGCGGGTTGTCTTACAATGTGTAAATTACATGGTATCGACACGGACTGATGCGGTTTGTGTTTGATCCGGCCGGCATCTTCCAAAAACTGTAAATGAATGACGTGTGTGACCGGCACTCGGATTGTCATGGAGCAGTAGACGAATTCCTCGGAAGGACGAAGATTTATAATCCGCACTGATTCATACCCATCTGGGGGTATGTTTAACTCTGTCCTATTTCCACACAAAGGTATTTCTTTCACTGCAAACAAATAAAATAAACATTTACAAAGGATACGCATGTCTAGGAAAAGATCGGTGTTAATTTAGCACAACCTTTGTCACTCGTGGTCATCTTTTATTACTAATTGACCTCTCTGACCACACGTTTACACGTTTTAATCGTTGCTGGTGAAGTGGTAAACAAATTCTTTTGTTTCGCAGCTATTTTTGTTATTTTTGCGACGCCATTTGATAACCCGCCATTTTATCTCGGGACTACGCTTGTTATGTTACAAGTTACAAGAATTTAATTAGTAACTTAATTACGGATGAGTAGAAATTACGAAGTTGGTAGTGTAACCTTGACATCTAATACTTTGTTAACATATCGGGTGTAAAGTTCAGCGTGATGCGTCATTGATGTGATTGATTTATGTGCGGCAAAAAAGTGATGAAAATGTAAATTATTCGCTTGGAAACTGCGATACTTACAGAAATGCATGATTTCAGTGCCTCGCACACATTGTACGCAGATTAGTGCAATGACGAACGTCTTGACACACATGTTATCACTAAGTCGGATTTGTTGAGCTGCTCTAGTATGAATGGAATATTTGAAACATGTTGCGCGTATCTTTTTTCTCTCGCCCGGCGAAATCACGAAATGATCGACGATCCGCGCGCGCGCTCCAAAGTTGAACTGGCGGTAGCGGTAGCACGCTGCGTATGCTTCGAATGTGCGATGAACAGTGTACTACTGTTGATAATCTAATCAGCTACCGACGGACAAGCTGACCGAGCATCGAACTGCACCGCCTGAGATTGTGCGCGGAGAGTTATTCTTACTTCTTATACGAGCTGATAACTGAAAGCTGACGCCGTAATTAATGTGTTTACGCGTTGGAGTCGTGTGCTGGACGTGGAAGTTTGTTTGATATGCGTGTGGAGTGATAAATTAATAGGGAAATATTTTTAAATATTTTGTGAAAATAATTGGGATTTTTTTTGGAAAAACTTTCAGATGAATATTAATTAATGAATAACTAAATGATATTTTTGACTTGGATTGTCAATTTGTTAATTTTTAAATAATAGAATCACAAATACAGTAATTATTTATTTAGTTATTTTAAATTTGAATGTTCTAGCGTCAACTGGTTTTGAATTATGGAATTATGTTTAGAATTGCTATTCTCTTAGATTGGGTGTTGCATGAACACTTTGGCGTACGTGTGCTTACACGGACACGAGTGCTCCCACCATAACACTCCGGGTAAACTCACTGACTTAGTCAAACAAGTTCAGGCATGTGTGTCAGTGCCACACTCTGCGAAACACTTGTTAGATTCTTATGGTATCGTATTGTAATCTTAGATGGCGCATCGTTGCAGTTTTTAACACAAACCAGTCGAGTTGTTTACAAACTCTGTGCACCTGCGATAACGGCAGGTATCTTAGATAAATTTTATTTCATGTTGCGACATGTTCTCTAGTATATTTCGCCGGGCTGTGCACGCGGGACGGCTGGTCCGCTGTGCGACGGTAGATGCAGTAAAATGTATTTTAATTGTTTGATTATCGCGAATATTTTGATTAAAAGACGTGTTTGGTGTTTTCTAATTAATTGTCGCGTGTGGAATGTTGTGATTGTTAATTTAGTGCGTTGTGTAGTTTTCCGCGGGTGTTCTTGAGTTGCTGTCGGACGGCAATCTTCGTTTAGAGGTGTACATTCGTGGTGTTTGTGATACTTGCACTTGTACAATTTGTTCGGTGCCCCGGATATTTATTTAATCCTATTTTCGGCGGAAAATAAATTAAATTTTGGATGGTGATGGTGTCTAGCCGAGGACTGCGTAGTCGAAGGATAACCGTTCACTCATCGGAATGTAAGTATTAAAATTGTTTATCATTTTTATACATACCTAGCTTTTGTGATTTGTATAAGGGAAACGAGACAACATTAAACCGTCTGCCAAATTTGAATTCGCTTCTGAATTTCGGTAATTTTTACACGCGGTGGAAATTTGGCTGTATCTTTCGAACCGTTCATGCAGTTTTAATGATTCGGTTAAATTAGCATATCACGAAAGTCATTTTATAAACTACATTACAATTGTGTTTTAAATTTAAATCAGCCATTACTAGATAGTCGGTTAGATGGCACAACGATGCACGTTGTCGCGTTAAATATTGCTTGTTGGTGGTAGTGAGTGCACATCGTGTCCGTGTGCGATCACGCGATTTTACGGAAGAGATAAGCTTGTTTACCTGCAGGTATCGAATCTTTATTTCGTGGATTCAAAACACACCGTTGCTGCTTGTTATGTTAGCATCGTAAATATTCTTCAATTCTTTCATGAATATAACTAACAATTTTATATTAATTCTAATAGTTTAGTATAAAAATCATCAAGAATGCAAAACATTTTTATTATCAGCAGATCACTTAAGCAGATATCACTTAAATATTTTATGTAAAATCTGGCACTCTGTCAGCATAAGAAATCAGAATTACACAAATCGAATTTTAATTTTTCATTACTTTTTAATAATCTAAATTTTGAAACTACTGTATCATTCATAGATGGCCCTAGCATGACTCAAAAATCATAAAATAGATTTGTATTGTTTATTTCTATATTTATCGGCAAGCGTGAGCATTCGACCCGAGAATTGTGTTTGTTTTGAACACAATTTACACTTTCTTATCGCATTGCCGTGTGTCCTCTTTGCCATTCCCTCACGCTGCTTATTGGTGCATCATATTTTAGTTTGATTGCAGATAATAAGTAACTTTCACGTTAACAGCATAGTTGTTTATTTTTCTCTTCTGTTTGAATATAATATTACATGAATATAATGTTATCTTTTATTATTTATAGTATTTGCCGTGCTTTGAAGGCCGATGTGATCTGCATTGGTAAGTTTATAATTCAATTATATTTTGCATTTTAATTCCTGCGCCTTACATAAGTTTGTATTTACGTAGTTTTTTTTCGGGTTCCACCGCGTGTTGCAAAGACACAAGACAGTCGCGTTTCAATCCGCTCTTTTGTATCTCTTTTAGTTTTCGAGATATTCACAATCGGGGAAAACTTTAAAAAAATGAAAAAAATCATTTTTTGCACTTTTAGACACGATTTCAGAACCATTACACCCCGTGTTTCAATTATTTAGGACAGTTAAAAGGGAAATCTGAGAGATGAAATTTTAAGTCTTAAGAAAAAATTGCCAAGGGGGGGTGCTTGATACTTTTTTTCGACGATTTTCAAACATTCATATCCCTTAAACTAAAAGAGATAGTTACCAACGAATTACTGATTATGATAGATTGGAAGATTCTCTATCAGATAATAATATAAAATAATTATATTGCCTACAGTGAAAGGTCGAAAAACGCGACTAAAAGTGCTAAAAAGAGACATTTTGCAATTTTTGCCCATTTTATTCTATTGTGAATATCTCGTAAACTAAAAGAGATAGAAAGGTCAAATCGCAATCTCTTAATCTACGAAACATTTTCTACAAGATAGGCTAGTTAAAATCGAAATTAAAGACATAAAATTTCAGGTCCTAAGAAAAAAATGGGCAAAGGGGGGTGCTTGATACCTTTTTTTTTGACGATTTTCAATAGCGAATATCTTCTAAACTAAAAGAGATAGCAACCAGCGGATTGTAGATTACGGAAGAACGGATAATTCTCTATCAGATAGGGATTTAAAATTATTTAATTTCAAAGAGTAAAAGGTCGAAGAATGCAACGGTGCCCTGAATCGAGTCCCTTCTATCGCTAACTTCATACGGTGCCCTGAACACGAGTTACTTCTACCGCTACCCTTGTACGGGTTGCGCTTGGAATTGTAGTTTTTTTATTATAACTCGCGAATGCGGTCTTAAATTTAGTTCGGAGTAATTTGCCCAGATGCGGAATTTAAATCTTTATTTCTCTGTATTGGAATTTATTGCGAGAAAATTGTTCGTAACGAGGATTATAGTGATAGTTGTGTGTGTATACGTATATACGCAATAGTACTCAATAGCGCTAGGAATTGTACTTTGTTAATATTGCAACGCACTGATCTTAAACCAGGTTCAGTTAATTCTCTCCTTTAAGCAGAATTTGAATTCTTAATCCTTCCTGTATTGGAATTTATTGCGAGAAAATTCCGTAGCAAGTTATAGTGATAGTTGTGCGTATACGCAGCCAAGTACCCGTAGTTTCATTGGTACAGCCGCGCGAACCAGATGCTAAAATTAACAACTAGTCATAATGAATTATTTATATTTTATTTTATTTTTAGCAGGTACGCTTCAAGAAATAATGCTATTTCAATTCTACGCATATCCGGGGTTTACATTGTATAAACAAGTTTTTATATCACGCTATAAACGTGCGCAATGCTGCCTCTCATGCTACGCGACGTTTCGACCGCTTCGATCTGTTCTTACCTGCACGCGGCTCGGCATCATTCTCATTTCATTCCGATAACATTTTATTTTTATTATTGATTAAAAAATGGCATTTTCTAGCGCGGCACCTATTGACAACAGACCTGTAAATTGTTTTGCTAAGGATGATTTACGCGTAAACTGATTATAAAACTGGTGTTTTACGCGTATTGTGTCGCCTATTGGATTATTTCGATGTTTGAGAGGTGAATTAGAAATTTGAATCTATTCGTATTTAAGTAAGTCGCAAGTAACGACTGTCCTTGGCAGTATATTCAGGAAAATTGTGTTAAAATAGTACAGGTTCTCACACGCATTTGTTTTGTTTTCAGTACTTTCGCGAGATTACCTGATGCACTGGTAAGTTTGGCAAGCGTTATTACATTTATACTTTCATATTTATCTAAATTGGATATATACTACCTGCAAAAATAGATGCGTGTGCCGTCGGATGCGACGGGTCTACCTGCAGAGGTAGCGGTCATGTCAATCATCGGTTTAATAACGTGAAATTTTCCTTGCTTGCATTTTTATTTTTTATTACATAAAATCCTGCCGGCTCTTTAACGTATTTTCGTAGCTGGAAATTGATTATTGAGAGTAATATATTTGTAAAATATTTATAATATATTATCTGTAAAATGTATGGTATTTTCTTCTTTATGCCACAACGAACACTTTACCTTTTGCGTTCTAATTGTAAAACTGACTAAATTTGTCGTTTCTGGGTCGTTTTTCTACTTAAACTTTGTATTTCATTTTTAAATTTGGAATTTCCTGTTTGTATCACTTTTATGTTTGTTTTCTTGATTTCCTATTATAAGTTTTTAAATTTGTATTCCCGACTATTTTTCTTTTTGTACTATTGTTTTCTTTGTGATGTAGTAATTTCTTTTTTTGCTTGTAGCACCTTGTATATTTGTTTTCTTGTTGTCCGTGAAAATTTGGCTTTAGTTGTTTGTTTTAGGTTTTCTTGCTGCACTTTGAATTTTTCTATATATGCGCGGCACCCTATATATTTGTTCCCATTTTCCACTCCGTGTGTGTAATAGAAGGTCATGGGGTCCTGTTTCAATATGGCGGCATGTACGAGTATTTTGTTGACTTGTAAAATATAAACTTGTATTCTATTGTTAATAAAGAAATAGTAAAATATATTGACTTCTTTGATTTGTGTACCTCTTCTATCATTTTGGGAACAGGTCTCTAGAGAGTTCCCTCTTTCACCAGTCATGATCCCCACTATAAAATTGTTTAGGTATGTAATTTGTGTGCTCATTGTACCATTTCAGCTACAGGTCAGAAGTTGTAAAGATATTTTTAAGTGTCACTATCTCTTGGGGCGACTTAAAACTCAAAGTATTTTTTACAA